AATCTTGTTGCTATAACATATTAAACGAATGCAAAGCTCATTAACATCTGATCCGCTGATTTTAAGAAATATATTTTCTTACTAAGCCGATAGACTAAGTTAATGATTTAATCTTTGTTTATTTAGAGTGAAAACAGTCGGCTACCCATTATAGTTTTAGTAATACATAAGTAAACTGAATAATAAGGTGTATCAAATATAGAAGAGGAGCGGAAAAGTTTTTCATTTGATTTATACATGGTTACAATTTTTGCGACGGTATTCCACTTTTAACATTACTTACATGGTGAAGCAAGAAATTGGTCTTCTTATGCTATCATCTTTGTAATACTTCTTTGACTTTTTGATATGTATGTACATATAGCCTCTTTTATGCTTATCTCTTAAGAGTCAAACTCGCGACAGAGAAATATATTTAGATGTGGGAGTTTGTGGTATTCTAACTGAAAGTTTCTCCGATTGTTACTCTGAAAAGTTACAACAAATACTTTAATGTGTGATCAGTCTTTCTTTTAACAATTGAATATTTTTGTTTATCGGTTGTATATTGCCGACCCATATTGGTAGGATCGGTCAGAACTATTTGATTCTGAAAATATTAATAGACAGAATTAATGAAACGAAATTTTGAGAAGTCTCATCTTCAAAGAAGTGGAAATTAACAGAAAGATGGCGTCATAATTAATCGCTTCAACAGAAAGCGGTAAATTTTTTTTGAAAGGAATTTAATTCTAGTCTATTGCTTTTCAGCGATATCTGAATAAAGAAATAGTTTCACGACTTTTTCTCTTCGTATATACAACACTTACCTAAATTCATCTCTGTCGTGATTTTTCATAATATTTACAGTCTAAACTCAAGGTATGTGTTATTCATTCAACCAGCTTTTAGTCCATTGATGTGCAGAATGAAAGTAGTCTAGTTTGGTCTTACCCCACTTGATATTTTAATTGGTTTTGTAGTTGGTTGAGCGATTACTGTGACATGTGAATTGATATTGTCGGCATTTGACTAAACAAGGAAAAACATTTATATAAGTGAGACTACTTCGCGCAGAGTGAATACTCACACATTGTGTATGTTCAGATGACGATGATTCATTTGTTCTATCAGTCATCTGAAATCGAATCCAGTAGTGCGAAACTTTCTTTCGTTCGAATTTTAAATATACTTGTAAAAAATTATCAAGTAAGGTACCAACTACTTGTGTCGATAATGCATGATTTGAATCTGTTGTAATTGTATTTTCGACGGGTAATGTCTAAACATGAAATAAGGTATGATAAACTGATAAGAAAAAGGTACTGAAAGTTTATTTATCGGTCTTGGACTAGCTGTATCACGATTATTGTCGTATTCTATCTATTTCAGAAGAGAATATGGTTCTTAATAAACATACAGAAAGGAGCTTTAAAATCCAAATTTTACTTTAGCATGCTGTTTTATTTGAGTATTGAATGTTTGTAAATCATAACAATCGTCGCCACCATTAAAATCATAATTATCTTGCCACTACTATAATTTGTTATTAATCGATTTCTTACCTATATGTCGGAATTAAAACCGAAATTGGATCAAATTCTAACGGAACACTAAAACATGGCTTTTCCACCTAGGATTCCAGTATACTCGACTTTTCCTGTAACTTTTTTGGATGCTTTCAAATTTAATATAAACCTAAAAGCCTTTCTGAGCACTCTGCAAAGATCCGCACAGGTCTAGAAAGATGTCTAAATTCAAGACAAAGTCAAGACAGCTCAGAAATGTTCCCAACTTCTCCATTCCGTGGATAAAGCCTGCAGTGTAATATAAAACTATAATGTTTGTTAAGACTTTCTAAAAATCCCACGGTGGTGAGAGGCATCCCTAACCTATTCACAATGACAGAAAATCCATCCACATTCTGTAAGTTTTATTGCGCGTAGATTATTCTTTCATGTTTTCAAGCATGACTGATTTCTCGCGACATCTGTCGTGAAACTGCAGGAAACACTTTCCTTAGGCTTTTCCCTGCATTAGTAGATATTCTAAATGATTCCTTTGACTATTTCCTGCGTTGTAGGTAGAAAAGAATTTTCTGTCGTCCTTTTTTGTGATTGGCTTATCCATGAAGTATCTGTAAGCCATTTTTTCCATATTTTACGCAAACAGACAGCGTCAACCATTTTGAAACAGCCTAGACAAAAGTCACCGGAATTACATAATTGTTAAAAATAAGGCTACTCGAAAATATATTTGTTAAAATCAGCAGATCAGATGTTATTGAGCTTCGCATTCGTGTAATACGTTATAGCAACAAGATTGCATTTAGCCAACATGGAAGAATATGTGAGCTGTGATGGCCGAGTGGTTAAGGCGTTTGACTAGAAATCAAATGGGATCTTCCCGCGCAGGTTCGAATCCTGCTCGCAGCGCTCTCTTTTTCTCG